ACTATCATCCCTAAAAGGAAGTGATTTAAATATCTACCACAATAGGAACTTGTCCTTTATTTTAACGTTGGTCATTTTCAAAATGTACTCACAAAAATCACCTATCCTATCCAATATGGTAGTGGTGAACAACTTATGTGGTTCAATGTTTTAACCTTATGAAAGCTTTCAAGTTGACTCTAATGACATCCCTAATTATCAATGTGTAGAACACTATTTGTTAAACTTATTAATGGTATACCTATATGTCATCAGACAATTCTAGTATATCTTTAGGTAGGACATTGTTATTTTATCCCTAATCAAGCTCCTAAAAGTGGGAATGAAAAGTGACCAACGTTTAAGGTTATTTTCAAATTCACACCATTCATTAAAGTGATCCTATTAAGTAATAGTTACAAAGACACAATCAAGATCGGAGGCTCTATATAATAACTCAAATTGTATCATGCATGTAAAATAGAATCATGTCATGAAGGTTATTTTATTAATTCATGATTTGAAGATTTCCTTGAAATATATAACAAATGTTAATATATAATTGGTCGGATATAACCCTTGAATGACTTGTTATCCATAAGGTAGCTAAATCATATTACATCCCAACTAGGATCTTTTCCTTTCTAAACATATTTTTAAAAAATAACCAATCTAACAAGGATATTTACAACAATAGTATACAATAGTTATACTTAAGAACCTTTTACAATTTTTGTTTTATTACCATTCATGTAATTACAAATATGAGTTTTCTTTGTTGTTAGTTAAGGTTACTGTGATTTACTCTTACATCACTAGAACTAAGAACTTAGATTAGTCCTACATCATGAAAACTAAAAGTTCATCACTCTACCAATAGATTTGTTAGCTTTGAATTGATTTTTATTTTGAAATAACAAAACGTTAAGGTTAAATTAGCTTATTTAGTAGTTTGAATTGAATTTGATAAATATTTTCTTACTTAATAAAATCAAAGTTTTATACTTATGGGTGTTTGGTATTGGAAGGAATCTTACTTTTTGTGTGATTCATATGTTTGGTTCTTGTAATATAATTCCCTGAGGTTTTCTAAGATTTCTAACAATGTCAAAAAGAGGAAAAATTGCTCATCTCCTTAAAGTTTTTTAAGATTCCTAACAGCGTGTAAAATTTATCTCACTTTTGCCCTAGATAAATGGTTTTTATAGTCTATTTTATCCTTAAATATTAGAGAAATTGCATGATAAACTGAGACACAAACTGACACACACAGAACATCCTAAATCTTATTTTTTGACACTAAGCAATGATCATGTTTGAATTTTATTTTTAAAACATATAAAATTAATTGAAATTTTATCTATATTGAGTTTTTATTCATTAAGATTAAATTTGTATTTAGTTTATACAATTGCTTTGGCTTTATTTAATAAAGATACAATAATTGTTAACATATGTATATTTTTTAAGTAATATTAAATTATTTGAAATTAAAATATATTAAACAAATTTGTAGATTATAATTAAATTTTTTAGTTTTAATTGATTAAAAATTTGCCTTCATGCAATCTTTAAAAGCTGTAAAGCTTTCATGCAATAAGATTTTTCAAAACTTGATGCTAAGGCCCGATTCGACACTCATTTTACACATCAAAGATTAAGGCTGGAAGGGTAATGAATTTTGATTTCCTACACTCCATTCAATTTCTTTATATTAGTGCCTTTGAGTATTTCGGCTGGATGCCTTATTTGAGCATTAATGGAGTAATCTATAAGAATCTAGTTATGGTATTTACAATAATGTAGACTATGTTGAGATCGATAATAGTGGAAACAAGTTTTATGATGATAGGTTTAGAACTTATGTTATGGGTAGAGAAATTATTGTGAATAAAAACTTATTAGCTAAAACTTTTATGTTGCATAACGAAGGCAACATCAATACTAGGTGTAATATCATTTGACTAGTCTAAGATCTTTTTGGTGATGATTCTATGATAAGTGCACCCATTCTTGCCTCTCGATTGCCTATGCACAATAGGTTACTCTATCTTATAGTGACTCGTGTCCTTGCATCTTTTGGCACTCAATATTTCTCTTTTAGAAAATAAGACTATTAGTATATGAATAAGATCAAACATAGACAACCTCCGAACTTAGTCTATTTTTTCAGTGATATGTTGAAAGTTGTTCAAATGAGAGAGCACACTTTGGTTTATGAGATAGCCATTTACAGTTTTCTTTAGAAACTAGTCCTTGACATTAGGTGTGACCATGCCAGAACTCTTAATGATCCATGCACCATTCTAAGTCTTCATTCTCTACACAGTACGAGATTATGTAAAATAATTATGGTACATAGCCAAAGAAGAATGTGCCTACACTTATTGATACCTTTAAGCTAGCATAAAGAGAAAGACAAGGAGTAAAGAGCAAAGATGTTAATGAAAAAGGTCCCTTGAGTCCACTTTTTGATAGTCAAAGAGCTTTAAAGATTTTTATAGCTTAAATGAATAGCTTGACTTCTATGGTTAAGGGACTGAACACTAGGATGGAACAAACAGAGTATAGGAAAAATGAAATCTTTAATCAACTTCAGGAAACAAGAGCAACTTAAGAAAACATGGACTAACACATTTGGCAATTTCAATTTTCCCATTTCATCATGACTCTTCTTTACTGCTTAGCCATTTTTGTGTTTCATACATGTATAAAACTTTTTTCCTTAAATTTTAGTTTGAACCTCTTTTGTAAACTTTTAACTTTGCATTTGTTTTAGTTCCTTATGCAAAATACTTTTATTCTACTCTAATGACATGGTATTCTTTAATTTGCAGCTTACTTATGGCTATTTGCTTGATATTGTTATCATTTATTGCCTTGTGTCTAAGTTGCTCTATAATTTGATTGGATTAAGGGTTGCATGCACAATTATGATAACATTTCATGCTTTGAAGTCTTTTATAAGATCGCCTTAACTTATATTGATGCTTGAATGCTTGCATAATGTGGTATCTTGATGTTTGTGCACAGTGTTCTACTTTTGTATGCGTAATATGTGGTTTTGTGCTATGAATTGATCCTTTTTTACTATGACAAAAAAAAAAAAGAGTGATAATATTAACATTAAATTTGCCTTGATGTGCATGTACTATATGGAGAAATGATGAAATTTTATTGATAAATTGTGCTTAAATTATTTATATAATTTGTGCTTAAAAGGTTTATATAAGTTGTTTGAAACTGTGTGAATTGTGATCATTAAAAATCATTCTTGGTGAAATTGTGCTTTAGTTAAGGAAGAGCTTCCTTGTTCATAAAAATCATTTTTCAAAATTGTTCTTAAACTAAGGGGGAACTTTTTTTACTCAAACAAATTTACCTTTAAGTTTTATCGTATAAAAAAGGGTGATATTATTAATTTTGGATTAATCTTTATTTTGAAATAAAAAAACATTAAGCTTAAATTAGTTTATTTAATACTATGTCTTAAATTTGATAAATAGTTTTTTACTTAATAAAAACAAAATATTGTACTTAGTAATATTTTGAAAAATGTTTTGATGACAAAAAACAAATTTTGTGACCTAGTTTTTGGTTTTAAAACACTTTTGAATCAAATCGACCTTTCTTTTTTGATTTAAATAAAATTTACTTAAAATAAGAAGAATGGATCAATATGATTTTAAATAGAATGCTTCCCTAGGTTGATTTGCAAAAAAATGGATCGGTCCTTTTTTATAGGATCAATCTTTTTTCTTACAAAATGTTCTTAGAGTGAAATTTTTCAAAAATGATTGATATATTCAAAAAATGAATAAATTGGTTTAAAAAAAATCGATCCATTATCAAAATAGATCAGTTGGTTTTTATCCATAGAGCTTGGTTTGCCTCTAAAGCCAAAATGGATCTATCCCCTCTAAAATGGATTGATCGATCCTCCTCAATGTTATAAAAATTTTAAATTTAGCAATATGCACGATCAATCCTCTCATGTATATGGTTAATCAGTTTGGCCTTGACAACTATAAACGATCACATTTTCAATAGTTTTGTTGAGCATTTAATGAAGGTAACAACTTTATTCTCATTTCTAGCTATATGAAAAGGTCTCCCACCACATTATGAAGCATCAAGAGCCAATAGAATTTATTGGTATTTATTCATCTTCCTTAAACATTCAAAAAGCAATTAATAAGTTTAAGAACATATCTTCTAATCAATTATTATTGATACCCTTTATTTGTGTTTTAGATTAACAAATACCCAACCTTACTTAGTGAGGTTATTAAGTTTGCCAAAATATTTGTATTTAGTTTTAAGATTATAAGCTCGACGGATAAAGTAACCTTTACATAGTCCTTTGAGAAACTTGAAAAAGTCATTGATAAGTTCTTTGGTTGATTGTAATAATAGTTTCGTTAAAGTTGGTTTTAACATTCAACAAATAATGGATTGAGCTTATAGACAAGTGAGATTAAATAAAAGAATATAGATATCTTTTTAAAAGAACAAATCTCTATAATTTTTAGTATTTAATTCTTTATCTCTAATATTTTACTTTTTCAAGTTATTTATTTGTGCATATATATTGTCTCCATTAACTTAAAAATTTATATTTATAACTGTTATTTGGTAATTAAATTATTAAAAATTTTAATTAGCTAATTTATCCCTTCTCGATTATTTAACTCTTTGACCTAACAAAATCGTACGGCTACCGGCAATATGAGTTTTCCATATGTAAGTGGATTTTGAAAACCACACCAAGGTTGCAATTCCATAATTATCTTATTTTCAGCATTTTCTTTTAAGTTTTATTTTCAGCATTTTTGTACTTTATTTTTTACTTTATGGCTTGGTTTTTATACATTTTCACTTAGTTGTACCTTATAAAAGGTGTCTTGATTTTTTTTCTTTTTGTTTTGTGAGGCATATTGCAGTAAAATAATTAGAGATTTGATTTTATTAGGAGTGAGTCGTAGAAGAGATCTACTTCCAACTTGTCAAATGCTGTAGGATTTTTTATTTGTTTATTACATACTGTATTAACATTTACGAGCTGAGCTTTGTGAAACTCGTGGGTATGATCTCTTCCATTTTCATTTCTCCTTAATTCTTTCCTCTTATAAAATTAAACTGTCGGGATTTTTCCTTGAAATCTGCATTTGAACAAGGCCCATTTTCATCCTCTTTTCTCTGTTGTTTTGGGTGTTTGTGTTGAGAAAAAGGTAAAATTATTCGGTGATGTCTCAATCTGAGTCTGAGAGCAGTTTATCTTCAGGTGTTTTAGCAGAGCTTAAGCTGTATCAAGCTTTCATCTTCTCTGTCCCTATTTTCTTCGCTTTCATACTGCTCTTCATGTTCTATTTGTTCTATCTTCGGCGCCGGCGAGCAGATTGGTCATCTCTTAGAATGAGAACCGACAACGACAATCACCTCTCCATGGTATGACTCTTTCTGTTTTGTCTTTTCCCAGTCAATGATGATTTACATATTTGTTAGTTGTGGTTTGACAGGCTGAATTGGGCCTCAAGAAAGAAGTAAGAGAGATGCTACCCATTGTTATATACAAGGAGACATTCTCCATCCGAGATACTCAGTGAGTTACCTTTCTTTTATTCTTCCCAATTCTACCTACTACTACTACTACTACTGCTCTCACTCAATTCCATGTAAATTTTGCTTCTTCGTTTTTACGTCCAACTGGAGTATTATTCTATAAACACCACAATCTTCATATGTCCATTTAATATTTAATTAATTTATGTTCATAAATATATCTATACTACTTCTTGATGCTTCTCACTTATGGTGTTTATGAGAAGTTGGTCATTAGTTGGCTAAATCCTCAAATTATAATTCAGCATTTGCACAAATTTTTTTTTGAAGATCTAACCTATTGTTGTGATCTTAACTTTTTAGATAGATAATTACACTTTTGATACTCGAATTATAGTAAAATTTTCAATTTAACATCTAAAATTAAAAAAATTGCAATAATGTACTAAAACTTTGCTTGCCTTCATTGAGAATTACACCGTTAATCAAATGGATAAAATATCCAAAAAATCTAATAAAATTCTGACATGTGACATGTTGACATGGTGTTTTGACTTTTGAGACACTTGGCATGTTTGTATTAGTTATATTTGGATGCGACATCCATTTGACAAATAGTGTTAGTTTTGTGTGCAAATTGATGGACGAAAGTAAAGTTTGAGTATTGAATTTTAAAATTTTAAAATTTAGATGCCAAATAAAAAATTTAACTGTAGTTTGGCTAACAATGTGTAATTAACCCTTTTACATTTGTCTAACGATAATTAAGGAAATTGATAATGGATTTTGTTTTTATTTGGAAATTGAAATGGAAGTTAGTGAACTTCCAATCACCAAAGGTAGTGATTAGTCGGTGAGATTAACAACTGAATTGGTAATTTTTTTTTTTTTTGACACATGATGTTTACATGGCAGCCATTAGTCCTATTAATTGGGATTACTAACTTAAGCTATCGATTTTCTTTCATTAGACAATCTAAAAAGTTAAAATTCAAATTAATAAAAAATGATAAGTTAGTTATATCCTCAAATGAAAAGTTGTGTAAATTTTAATTTGAACATTTAGCCATTATCAATTAACGGGGATGAAGCTATTGTTGGATAAATGATCTGCATCGTTGTGTGAATGTGGATATAATAAAATTAATCAACTTTTTTTTATTCATTCAGAAGTGATACAATATATTCCCTGATATAAGTTGACTTCATATAATCGGAAAAAAGCATGTTCAGTTGTAAAAAATTATAGTCTTGGAGCTAGGTTGGTGATATCATCTCGATTTTCCATTGACGAGATTGTAGTAATTTTGAGATTTCTTGAAGCAAATTTAAGTTTCAGCCTTTCTATTTAACTTTTAGGATGAATTGATTTCTTGAAATACAGTATGGCAAAAAGCAATGCATGTCATCTTTATAATGTTACTTTCACACATTGTTGTTGAACATCTAAATTTCATCTCCCATGAATATCCCATATGTAAGCTGCATAAAATAACTAAAATAGATAGACACTTCCACTGAGAATGACTGTTAATTCAAAGACTGGAACAGGAAAAGTGATTGCCTGATCTTTCATGCATAAGAAGCCCCTTGATGCTGTGAAGGTGATCTTCTCTATAATTGAAGAGCACTTTTCTCCAAAAGCCAGCTAATCGTTGAGTTAGATCATCTGCCTTGTAATTGTAGTAGTCATTTCTTCTGTTCTGTCAATGATGACTGTTGGATTAGTGTCATAAATACCATAGAACTGATGGCTGCCTTCTTATTGGTTCAGGCCATTGCAGTTCAGAAATTCGGAGATTCTAAATGAGAAAACTTAAGCTTCTACTTTCAAACTTTTCCTCTTTCTGATAAAGTATCATCTTTACTATTGCAGATGCTCAGTATGCCTTGGGGACTACCAAGCAGAGGATAAGCTTCAGCAGATACCTACATGTGGCCATACATTTCACGTGGACTGCATTGACCATTGGCTTGCCAACCACACCACCTGTCCACTCTGCCGGCTTTCTGTCCTTGCTTCTCCTAAGGTTCCTGATAAATTGCCTGTTATTCAAGCTGAAAATGATCAGGAGTCATCTCATCCAGTGAATAGTAATGGATTAGCCGTTCAACTGGTGTCCCAAAGTTATGAAGAAACACAAGGCGTACAACCTTCTGAGCCAACAATTGGAGATGCAAGAATTTCCCAACACAACAGTGACGAACAGGAATGTGTGAATCAGGGAAGAGAGTTTAGAAATACAAGGAATGAAACCAGAGAGCATGAGCGTAGCAGCGGAATATCTGGTAAACTTTTTACTAGTGACTAGTTTAGCCAATCTCACAGTTTTCCCTCGTAGCTTTCTGATGAATGTTGCCTTCAATATATTTCTTTACATGCAGTTTTGGTGAATTTTTATTAGATTAGTTCTTACTTCATTACTTTTTAATTGCTGGTGGCTGATAATTAATGAAGCCTATTCATGGTATCAAATTACAAGAATACATGAAAATTTCTTCAGTTGGTAATTGAGTTTCTGGCTGTAACAGCTTGATATTTTACATGAAGTGAGGCCATCAAGTTGAGAATGGTGATTCCATATGTACCATTTTCCAAGACACAAAGGAGTCATCAGAAGATTCTGACATAACAAACTTCTGTGAGTATTCCAGCCGAATTGTACTTTAAACAAACAAATCATCAACAAGCTGATGCTGCTTCTGATATTGGCATCCCTAGGCTGTGCGTAACTGCTTAGAAAAATGAAGTCTGTCAACTTCGAGTGCTTTTTTAAAGGTGGTGCTAGATATCAATCATCTTTTTTTTTTTGTTTTTCTTTTGTGGAAATCAGTAAAAATGTATAACTTGGGCTCATTTAAGTCAGATTTGGTAGGAGGGAATTGGAAGCTTATGTGTAACTGGAGTAGGCTATGTTTGAGCAAAGGAAATGAATGCCTTTGTTTTTGGGTCAATAGGAGGAAGAAAGATCTCTGACTTTCTTCTCCTGTAAACTTGTGAAAATTAATCATAATCTTCTTTTTTTCCCTAATTAATATGTGTAGAATATTTTATGAAAATTAATTAAAAATAAAAGATAGGATGTGTTTCTTGCTAGTTTGGAGTTCCAATCTTAGTTACATGATAGGATTTCTTAGATTGATAAGGAAAGAGACGTTCTAATGAAGTCCGGAGATGGAGAATGTGAAGTTTAATAGCCAACAAGTTAAGATAGGACTGGTATCCATTAAAGATGAGAGAATTCATCAAATAAGTAGTTGATGTTGACATTGCCATGGATTATAATCAGGATTTTGATTGCCAGTGGAAGAATCTGCCGTTGAAGTTAATCTAGAGGGACATTGTGAAGTTCCAACGCTATAGCCAGTTGCAAGTGATCACCAGAGAAGAAAATTGTTGCAATCAAGATGAAAAGGTACAGGATGATTGAAGTTGATAGAGCTAGAAGAGGTGGTAACCCTCAATATATTTATATATATATATATATATATATATATATGTATGTATGACTTCCAGGCAGGCTCTTCTATTCTACCGGAATGAGATGATCTTTAATCTCCAATCCTAGGTATGTAATTGGTCAAGCCGATATGGTGAGAAGTTCAACTTCGATTCCAAACTTATGACTTGATATTTGATTCAAGTTTGATTAAGTTTTATTTTTTTTTTAATTCAAATTCAATTTGTAATCGAAATCGATTATTCGAATTTATTTGATTAAACTTATTTTTCAGTAACAAATGAATTCGATTACATATTCAATTATTGACACTCAAGCTCGAACTCAATTTTTTTCACATACAACTATTCGTATCGGTTAAATTTAATAAATAATGATATCTTTTAAAATCACATCACAAAAATAAATAAATAAATTAAAACCTTACCCAATAACCAAATATAAAATTTTCTAACCACAAAATCTCAATCAAATTAACCAAATACAAGAGCACTACTACAACATTACTTTCAAGCTTAGTAAAGGTTGATTATTATTGTTGATTGGAAGCCATTTCAGATAGAATATCCCTTCGATTCTCGAGCTCCATTAAAGTAAAAAGAAAACAATGAGAAAAGATAACAAATTATATAAAGATGAATTATAAAAAAAAAAAAGCAAGATTATTAAGCACCTAAGATCTCCAAAGCTGGTAAAGTTTCCATAGCTGCCTTAGAGAAGTAAAATTGCAAAACTCAAATGTCAAAAACAATTGAAGCACAATTATTTTCTTCAAAGCAACTGAACTTCATTCGAAATTGTCAATAAACAAATAAAGATAGATGCATATTAACTATATTAGTACTTAAAAAAGTAGAAATCATGTTTAAATCAAATATGATGAAAATGATAGAAAAAAAAAAAAAAAAAGAAAAGCTAACATTAAAAGCTAAGGTTCTATTCAATAGCCAAAGCATGTCTCTAGCTTCTTTCTTATTCACTTGTAAACTCAAATAGTCTGTCATGTATTTCTTTATCTCTGGTAAATGAAAGATTTGCTTCAGAGAGGAGATTGCAACTTAAAGAATCTCCATGTGACCTGGCAGAGCAGGAACATAGCAACGGCAAAAGGAAATCAACCGTTATTATTAAAAGAATGCAAGTTGCTAGCTAGGAAAGAAATTATCATTCTGGCAGAATCAGTCACTTTCATATTATGAATCTTCATTAAAGGTATCCTGACTGTAAGCTTCGGCAAGTAAGAAAATTGCCCATTTTGTATCCTAATTTGGAGATTGAAGCAGCCTATATACCACAAAAAAAAAGGGGGGGAGGGGGAGGGGGTAAGAAGTTGATTAATTTATGAAATGAAGTAGCTAGCCACATTTTCTTTGCTAAAAAGAAATGAAATGTTTGTTATGATTCATGATGAAAAATTTTGCTCTGGTTTGAGAAAATATTTTTTATTTTTATTTTCTAAAAAATAGTTTTTGTTTTCTATTTTTTGTTTTTTAAAAAAGGTATTGGTAAAAATAATAAAAGTGTTTTATAAAATAAAAAAAAAGAAATAAATAAAATTTTCAATGATATTACTATTAATGGCATCTAATTATAAATATAATATATATTTATCAATTAATGACATTAAAAAATACTCAAATATAGTAACTTAAAAAAAAAGTACCGTACATTTTTTATTTTCTCAATTGAAATAATTTTTTTTTGTTTTCATATTTGAACCCATTTTTATTTTTGTTTTCTAAAAATTTATTTTTATTTTTAATTACCAAGTACATTTTTACTCATATTTTTTATTTTCTAAGAAAATGAAAACAAAAATAATTTTATTTTCTTAAACCAAATACTTCCTAAGGCTCTATTCATTTTCAAATTTGTATTGGTTGTTAACATGACCAAATCATACTATACAAATTGTGACCAATTCAACTTGAATATGCAAACGGCAGATAAAATGACAAAGTTCAAAATAGCCTAAAGCATAGCCCCTAAAGCAATAAACTTCTATTCAAATTATATCTAAACAAACTAATATCCAGGTGAGCATCAGCTAACTATAGACCTTGGCTGAACTTAAAATGAAAAAAAAAAATCACTTTCTATAAAATAGAAATACAGATCTTGGTTGTTGCTTTTGACCCTTGTCGCCGCTAGTTATGGTGTCACTGTTCTCATTGCTCAATCTTGACTTAAGGGTGTTTCACCATTGCTCGAGTTTTAAAGAGCTCCATAATTGTTGCTACTAACTAAGAAAAAAAAGGGGGTCGATGTTGGGAGTAGGCTGTTGAGCTAAAAGCCTCCAATCCAATCACACACAGCGGAAGCAAAATCAAACAATAAATCGAACACACAAGAGACAATAATTTAACGTGGTTCGGTCCAACTGACCTATATTCACGGATGAGAAAAAAGATCCACTAGTTGTAGAGAATTACAAACTTACATCAAATCATCAATCTCACTCAACAATCAATACTCATAAGACACTCTCAATCTCCTCTAGTCCTATGGAGTATTTTCAACCCAAACAAACACAAACCCAAACTCTTGTGCACCTTTTCAACACAACCAAACACATACCCCTATGTTCCCATACATCATACCTATGTGGACCCTCTCAATCTCCTTTAGTCCACTCACAAACAAGCATACACACCTATAAGACGTAGAGCCCCAATACTCTTATGGGGTGTCTATCCCACAAAATCCTACAACTCTCTTACATCTTTTTTTTCATACCTAACCCTGTAGAGACTTCACCTATTTATAACCATACAAACTTGCCCATTAAGAATCCCTCTCCTCTTAGAATTCTTCTCCTGTAAGTAAAACTTGCCTATTAAGAATCACTTTCCTTTTAGAATTCTTCTCTTGCAAGTCAAACTTACCTATTAAGAATCCTCTTTCTCTTGAAATTCTTTTTTGCAAGTCTTCTTGTCCATCAAGCAATATCTGACAAATCCCAAACAAATCTCTTATGGGATTTGAATCATTATTCCCAACATAGGCATCGACAATAAGCATTGGCAAGAAAAGAAAAAAATTTTGTTGGTAAAAGCAGAAGGATGAATCAATAGAGTGAGGAAAAGATAAGTGCCACTAGGGGGAAAGAAAGGAAGAAAATGTTTTGAGTGTTGTGTTGAAGATTAGGAATTTAGGATTTTTACGTAGGTAAATATATTAAGGGTAAAATAATAAATTACTAATAAAATATAAAAATATATATTAAAAAATAAAAAAATTAATTAGGCTCGTAAGTCACTCAAGCTGAACATAAGTGTTCGTGCTAAGTTTATACTAAATTGAATAACTCAAAAATAAGCCTAGAGATAAGAATAAGAGAGTTGAGTAAAAGAGCTCAAAAGAGAGAATGAGAGAGTTGAAAAAATAATTAACCTTTCTTAATTAGAGGGAGTGAAAGGTTATTTATACACATCAGCTTGGACTAAATAATCAAAATACCCTTGATCCAATTGTGAGTACTTTCTTAGAGTAAAAGGCAATTATGCCTTTATGACCCAATAATGCTATGAATAATTGGAATATTCAAACTCAACTAACCTAATAACTTGAGCTGCTCTAGCTTGACTCAATAACAATCAAGCTGAATTTGAATTTTTTTTAGTTGAACTTAAGTAGCTTATAAGCATAGACATCTCATTTACACCTGTAATCCTATACAATCCAATCCAAGCCAAGCTAAGCCTTTTTTCCTTTCCTATTCTAGAAATTTTTAGTGATGAATATATGAGAGACTTACAATGGCAACTCTTTCTCAAACAATGGCATGTACAAAATTAATGTTGGAATTGAATGCAGAAGGTTGATGAGGCTTAGGAATTATTAGGGAAAGGTTCTATAAGGCAATGCAAAGAATATGGATGACGATGATTGAGGTTGTTAATTAGCACATTGATTACTATGAAGTAACTACTCATCTAACCCCAACGTCAACCTTAAACAAAGGTTGGACTTGCAATTCTCATGGAATTGATGTAGCAACATCCAAAAAAAGCAAGGGATAAGAGAAAAGACATAGAGGGATACCCAGTTGGAAGGAGAAACATTACTATCATAAATGTAACCTAGAAGGTTCCAGTATTAATAAACTATAATAGAACAAAAATTTTATTCCATCCATAATTAATGTGCCAATGTCACAAGTCAAAACCCAAGCTTTAGGCTCACGCGGCTTTAGGACACGGGAATAGACTCTTTCACATCCCATATCAATGTAACACAAGAAATGGTGCATGGATACTCTAAACTACAAGGCTTGGCTATTTAATACGCTACAAAACAAAAAAGCACAGCAAGTGCTAGAAGAAAGGCTAACAAAAGAACAAAATAATGTTTAAAACAAGAGTAAGGATGTGTTTTGGTGTTAGGCTATTTGGGACGTGAAAAAGCCTATTCTAGTGTTTTGGAGATGTGCAAGCCTAAAGCTTGAGTCTCGACCCATGACAAATAATATTAGAGCATGTTTAAAACTGGTTCAAAAGTGGCAAAAGTTGATTTAAAGGAGGTGATCAGTGTATGTGCCGCTGGAACTAGAGTTAGCCTTGAGGGAGGTTCAGATGTATTGGTGCAAGCATTCGATTGTATGGTGTAGGCATCCTAGGTCATCTATGTGCTTGTGTTGGTGATACGCCCTTGGTGCACAAGGT